TTTTTTTTTTTTTTTTTTTTTTTCGTGTGGTCGAGGAAATGCACTATTATTCGGTGGAAAGGCCACTCAAACTGATAATTATATCGTATTTTGCTTGCTTGCTTTTATTCAACGAAATGCATTTTTTTTAATGTGTACTTTTATAAAACCAGATTCTTCAATTCTTGCGTCCAAGAGTGTGAAGAAATCAGTGGATTCTCTGCCTGACGTGGAGACCTTCCGCGCCTCTCGTACCAGCACTAAGCACTCGGTCAAGGTAACGAACTGCCGTCGCCGCGGCCGTCTGCCCGCGCAACCGCCCGCAATGCCACTGTCACTGTCACTAGTCAACTTTTATCGTACTTAGTTCTAAACCGTATATAAGTTATTCTTAAGCACTTATTACTTTTTAATTAATTCTAGTACTAATACTTAATGACTGTTTACCGAAGAGAGACCAAAGAGTAAATTTCGTTGATGATGTTAGACACATCCAAAGATTATAATTTTTTTTAATTACAACAGTATTCATGAAGAAAATGATTCATGGAAATTAAAAAGATTTAATCACAAAGAAGAAAGTATAATGTACATTTATAGATAGAAAGAATTGACAGAAGGTACTTATTTACAAAGTAGGTATTGTTTACGCTCACACGATGATCTCATCCTAATGCTAATTAATTACATTATAGGTAAAAAGGCGTTCAGCATTCAGATAAGACTTGAGAGTAGTAAAGGCGCGTGACGTCAACGTATTATTTACATCCAGAAGGCGGTTGTTTCAGACGCGGCGCTGCTCCCCGGCCTGCTGGCTGCCCGACCGGCCGCACGACGCCGCGGGCCCTTTGCCGAGGTACGCCCCACTCTTCCCAACACCTTTCCCTCACTTTAACGCTCCACTCCGCCTCTTCCCGCTCCTTTCCATCCCCACGCTCACACCTACTTCCTTTCTACAACATACATACACTTCAGGTAAAGATGAAAAGAAGACGGATATACTTCACGTAACTATATGTTAATTATTGTCATCATTGCTGCTTGATGAAAACCGTGCAAGTTGTAGTAAACGTGTCACGTGCAGTGAGTACTGAGATGTCGTGCGTCGCACAGAGCCAGTGAGGCGCTGTCGGTGCGGGGCGCCGCCATCGTGCCGGCACGCAAGCCGCAACGGCCGCCGCGCCTCCGTGACCCCACTCACCTCCGCGACCTCTGCGACCTTTGCGACCACCGGACCCTGAAACACCGCACTACATAATATATTAATTAAATAATAAATTCGTAAGCATTGTTGGTTTTTTACTTTTTTTTTATTTCCTTAAATCTCCTTCAAGTCATGTGGTTGGGAAAGTTGGGTCGGAATGACAGAGACGGCCGTCGTGCCTCGGGTGCGGCGCTGTAGGAGACACGGCACAGCACACCTTAGAGGTGTGCACTGCGTAGTCCGACGCGCGATAAGCGGAGACCTCTAGCTTCCTAGCGTTTTTTTTTTACGCGCCATCCCTGGAAGTGAGAGGGCCTGGGAAGCCGTTGCCTCCTTCTGCGAAGTGGTAATTTATCAGGAATCACATTTAATCATTACTAAGATTGCAGCTAATAGTTAGTTGGTGGATAGTTGAGTTAGTAAAGTAGTGTGGTGCGATACAAGTGTATTTCTGGAATTATCTTTCTCTCTGCATACCCGCATACCTACTTAACATGGATTTAACTGATGCCGGTATAGATATGCCGACATATAGATAATGTCCTAAAATTCAGAGGTGGCATTTTACTCAACTTCACAAATTGAATTTTTTAAAACCAAAAAAAAAAATAGTAGGATGAAACCCATTAGAAAAGGAGGGGGAATATTATAAAAAAAAATGAAAGGAGAAATAATTTACGGGCGATCTGAGGTCGGAAAGGGGAGGGGGGTGAGTTTTTTTTTTTCCCACAAAGAATCACAAATTACTTACCATCACAACGGTGCAACGTCCCCGTCTGGCCGGAATTACATTCTATAACACTAGCAGATTCTACATTCAATGAGCCGATTATATATCTGGAACAACAGTGAGCATGCGACCCTATTTTTTTTTTTTTCGAGGGGATATGCACTTCGGCACCCCTGCGCCAGGCCACTTGTGCAGTGGCGCAGGGAGTGTGGGACTCGCCTACAGTCGTTCGGCCATACCCACTTAAACCCCTCTGGCCCTCCTCCTCGCCATATGGCCGGGTTACGAATACGCTTGCGCAATCCTTCCGCGACCCAGCCGGCGACCGTTCGCTACGTCGGACCCTCACGTCCGAACACGAGAGCTGCAGGTGGGCAGGATAAACCAGTACCCTCCCACTGCCCTCGCGGCCTCCACACGTCCTCCGGCCACGAGGGATGCAGGAGGGCAGGATAAACCAGTACCCTTCCCACATCCCTCGCGGCCCCTCACCTCAAACTCCGGCCACGAGGGATGCAGGGGGGCAGGATAAACCAGTACCCTTCCCACATCCCTCGCGGCCCCTCCACCATAGGCAGCACGGTGGCAGACAAGTGTCCACCTCCGGCGCCTCCTCCACCGGTTGGGGCCCGGCTAGCGCGCTAGACCTATCGACACCTCGTCGACTAGTCCTGCGCGCACCGCCAGACCCTGGTGTTTGGTTTGGGCTTACGCCCTACCCCGACACGAATGCCGGGGCGTTCCCCTATCCACCACCCGGGGACCGTGGAAGAAGATGGCTTCAGACTTATTGAGGGAAACCTCCAGCCCAAGGGCCCTAACCCTCGCCACGACTTGTGCTACCCCCGCCGTCCCAAGGATCGCGCACTCCTAGTGGGAAGGACCGCGCGCCGTTATAAGGGTGTCGTCAGCGTAGCATGTGATGTCAACCCCTCTCATGAGAGAGCCCCGCAGGACCCAATCATATCCCACGTTCCATAATAGGAGGCCGAGGACTGAGCCCTGCGGGACCACACAAGACACTTCGTGGCGACACCACCCGCTCCGACTCCTAAAAGATACCAGCCTCTCCGATAGGTAGTCAGACACAACACGACACAGGTATTCCGGCACACGATGATAGCGGAGGGCCTCGGCAATGCAGCTCCAGGGGATGGTGTTAAAAGCGTTCGCGATGTCAATAGACACCGCGAGAACGACATCTCCCTGGGCTACGGCCTCCTCCGCTATCCTTTTCACCCTCTCTATCTCGTGTATCGTGGACCTACCCGGCCTGAAGCCAAATTGCCTCTCATTGAGGTCCGGTCCGACTGCCCTCAGGTGCCTGGTGAGGCGGTTGGCAACGACGCGCTCGAAGACCTTCGCCAACTCGTCCAACAGGACGATGGGCCTATACGCCTCCGCGGAATCGACCGGTCTCCCTTCCCTTCTTTCTTGATGAGGACTAGGGCGCCGTTTTTTCTTTTTTTTTTTTTTTTTTTTTCCCGTAGTCAGGGCCCACTCCTCCAGTACTGCGCCCCGAGGGTTTGTGACGACGTCACCCCAGGCAGAGCTCCTCGCATTGAAGTCTCCCATTACCACCACATAACGGGGACTTCTGCGAACGACCGCTCCGACCTGGTCGAGTAGAGATGCAAATTCTACGAGGCTCCGACTCGGGGCGCAGTAGACGCCGACGACTAGGGTCCCTGCTACCGTTGCACTAACGTAGCCGCGGCCCCTTCGAACCCCACCAAAGGACGGAGAACTCGGGGACCGGGGCACGAAGAGCGCGACCACCTCGTCCTCATCGCTCAACCAGTCGTCTCCATCGGGAACGAAATAAGACTCCGACACTACCGCTTTTTTTTTTTTTTTTTTTGCATTGACCACTCGGCCACACTCTGGACGAGCAGGTCTAGGGCCCGTGCACAATGGTTAAGAAGGATCGTCCGTCTCCATCGAATCCTCGTGTACCGGCTGGTGGTGGTGGTGGTGGTGGTGGCCGTATTGTTACGCCTCGGGTGACTTTGGGCGCTGGAGCCGTACAGTCTTTAAATTTGTGACCGTCGACCCCGCACCGGAAGCACTGGTTACTCCTATCCACATCTGCAGTGCAGTGCACTGTACCCTCACGTGACCCTTTTGGAGGCACCGGCACCGGTAACAACGTAGCGGGCGGGGTTCGAGAAGCTTGACGTCTGCCGACGTCTGGGAAGGGGGGGAGGTAGTTAGGTAGGTAGGTTAGGTTAGGTTAGGTTTTTTTTTTTTTTTTGTTAACGCGGGG